CTCTCCTTTCGTCTTCATTGTCATTGCCACTTGTTTAGAGGTGTCATGTTAAAAATTACTATTTGATATTCATTATTTTATGTAGTGACATTCGTAAAGAAGTGAGGAGTCTTGAAAATATAGTCATGTTAACTTTTGAATTTTTTGAAATATGAAATTTTATAAAATTATTAAATATGGTCATGTTGAGATATGAAATATGTGAAACTATTTATGTATATTTTTTTTATTAAACATAATATTTAAATATAATTATTTATTATATGTTTTCTATTTTATTAATAATAGGCCTTTTGACCTGTTAGCCCGTTGGCTACTAGTCCATTAGTCTATTGATTCGTTAAATTTAAATTGTTAGTATTATTTGAAAGTTGTAATGTTAAATAGGTTATTGAACCTGGTCAATCTTTTAAAAAGACTAGACTAAGCCTAAAAATTTGACCTATGTCAGGTTATAGACTTAAGTTTAGGCTCTTTATTTTGTATAGTAGGTCAGACTCATTTAATCTTAGGCCTAACATGGCCTAATCCATTCTCATCCCTATCCACAACCTACTTGCCTAGTTTAGATAGTTGCCATAAAACCAACAATCATAACTAAGCAAAATAGCTTGCCAGCTTATGCCCAACAAAAGAGGTATCTAAAGTAGTGTTTGGTTAAGAGACAAAGACACGTGTATCATGTTTAGCTTGGTTAAGAGACAAAGACACGTGTATCATGTTTAGCTAGTGTCTCACTAGAAAACAGAAACATAGAAGGACACGCGAAACACAAATTTGAAGGACATGAGTGTCCTAGTTCTAAGAACACGGATGAAACGCTACCTAAAACAACAGAGATTGTTGGCACTCGAAGAAGTATCACCTTGATTCATTACAACAATTATAAATAGTAATTTTTTTAAGCTTAAATATGTTATTGATTCCTATAAATGTCGGTAGTTTTGTGATAAGTCCCTATAAAATATTTTTTAAGATGTAGTTTCTAAAAAATTATAAATTTATGATTTAGCCCCAGCTGTTAACTTCCCTTTGTTAAGTGCTGAGTTAGCAACAGAAAACTAGCTCAACACTACTATATGTCATATTACGTCATTTATTTTTATAATATTATATTATTTAAAATAAATATTTACAAAAAAACTTTAACATATTTTAAATATTTACAAAATAAACTTTCTTCTTTCTCCCCAATCCCTTCCCTTTCCAACCAGCAGAAGCCCCACCTTCTCCACAACCCTAACCCTCACTTCCACTCCCTCCTCCTCAACCCCTCTACCCCCACTGTCAACCTCCTGCAGTCCCTTCCCTTCCCATTCTCCCACTTCCAAACTCACCCTTAACCTTCACTTCTTCACCATGATCCTCACATTCATCCCCTCCTCCTCATACAGTCAATGTGTGATCTCAAATTCAAAGTCACTTTTCATTAACAAACACCAAACAACTGCTCGAAAATCCATTAATTTTCATGGTGATTTGAGTGAGGGGGGAGAAATTATATAGAAGGAGTGGATCCGAGATGGTTAGGCTTGGACTGGGCGAGTTTAAACAAAAATTCATAGAAGATGGCGTCATTTGAAGAAAGGTACAACAATAATTGATGACTTTGTAAGCTTGAATTGCTTAGGAAAGCTAAGGTTGGTGACTGTCTAAGGGACTGCCACCATAGCTGACGTTATAGGAGTTGGAGCTTCGGAAAGGAGAAAAAGAAGAAGAGGATCTTTTTATAAATTTTTAAAATATGTCAAAGTTTTTTTTATAAATATTTATTTTAAAAAATAAAATATTATAAAATAAATTACGTGATATGACATGTGATAATGCTGACCCAGCTCAACACTTAACATAGAGGAGTTGACGGCAAAAACTAAATTCTAAATTTTCAACTTTCAAATGACTACTTCCTAACAAAAAATTTCATAAGAACTTATCATAAATAACTTACATTTATAAGGACCAATAACATATTTAAGCTTTTTTATATATGGAATTTGAAAAAATAAAAAATATATATATATATATATATCAAAATATAATGTTTTTGAACAAATTGCAAAACTATGAAATTTAAGCTGTTTTTAGTATAAATATTGATAGAACAACAAAAAATTACTAAATTTTAAAAATTGTCACTCACAAATTTCTAAAAAATAATAAATTTTCAACGATGATTTTTGAAAAATAAAAAATCATTTGTGACAGTTTTAAAAATTAAAAAGAAATCTAGCAATTTTCTTGAAAAAGAAAATTCACATTTACAAATTTTTTTTCAAAACGCTATATTTTGGCAATATTTTATTTTTTCCATAAAAAATGACCTCTCATAAATAAAATATTTAATTAATAATAATATTATAAAAAATAAATTAACAAATTTTAAATTGATATAATAAAAATTGCTTTATATGATAATTAAAAAGATTAAGTATTTATTTATGTGTTAAAATTGATTATATATAGTTTTACATTTTAAATATAATAAATATTTTATTTTTTATAAAAAAAGTCTTTTTTAAAATATGTCTGTGCGCGTTACATAGAAATTAAGATATATAAAATTAAGTAAAATTATTTTAGGAAATTGTGCAATGTATTGATATTTTATTTTACAATAAATACACATATTTTAATGATTAAATAATAAAATTTTATATTTTGTAAATAATTATATATAAATATATAATTTAAAAAATATTTTAAGTTAACTCTATAACTATAAATAGTATGCATTAAAATAATAAATATTTAATAAAATTAAATAATTTTTAAATATAATATATTTTAAAATAATTTATTCTTTAATGTAACAATAATAATTAAAATGTCAATGATTAATATATATATATATATATTTATAATCATAAATTTAAAAGATAATATTTTTAAAAGCAAACTCTAAATTTGAAAGAATATAAAAAATTAAGATATTTTTTTACAAAAATAATAATATTTTATTTGAAAAATAAAAATTTATGTGTGATAATAAGAAAAAATTGAATAATAACTTTAAGGGTCGTGTAGTGATAAACATAAATAAGATATAATAATATATTGATAGATAACAGAATTAATAGTTTAAATTGAAAAAAATGTTAATACTTTTTTATTTTTAAAATATTAAAGAAATTACAACGATTAATCTAGAAAAATATAAAATACCATTTCAAGTTTTTAGATACCTCATCAAGTACCTTATTTCATAGGTCTCTCTTTTTTTCTCTCTTTTCTATATTTTATATATTTTTAATTAAATAATTTATATAATATAAAAAAATTAAAATTTAATTTAATAAATATAAATAAAAGGATAATTTTATCATTTTTTTATATATTTATGTCATATTCTTATTTCTACCAAGTTTGCATCAAATATTTAATCTAATAAAAATTTATCACGCTTTTATTCTATCATACTCTTATCCTAATCATTATAATCCTATTTTAGTCATCAAATAGACTCTAATCTTCAAATTTTAAAACATTGTTAATAAATATATAAATAAAAAGTGTAATTTACAAATTATTATAAATTAATTTTAATTCTAGAATATATATGTGGTAAAAGGAGAGTAACTCCACTAACGCTTCACTTCTCAAATAATAGATTTTTATTTATAATATAAATGTTGATTATTTATTAATTAAGAATCAAATGTATTATAAAGATACGATTAAATTATAATGTAATTTCTTTAACTAAGTTTAATATTTTATATTCTTAAAAAATTATACAATTAGTTAAAATATATACTTAGTTCATGTAGTTAACATATTTACAAATTAGTTTTATGCTTTAAAATTTATATTTTAATTCACATACAAATATTTTATTATGTGTTAATTTTTTTTCTATCATTAACGATATTATAAGGGTATTAACAAAATATAATAAATTTTTTGTATAAAAAATAAAATATAAATTTTTAATGTATAATAATTAATTTGTAAATTAGTATTAATGGTAAAAATTAAATGTATAGTCTAATCTATTAGTATTTGTTTCAATATAAAAAAAATTATAAGTAAACTTGTGCCAACATAAATAATAATTTCAATACTTGTAATCTCACTCACAAGAGACTTATATATTTGAATTTAAATTTATTATTTGTATTTTAATATTATTGAACAAGTTATCCTTATATATATATATAACAACACAACTTTTTTAATATGATATTAATTATGCAAATTAATAAAATGAAATTATTACATACAAATTATGTGATTTTTTTTTAAACTCAGGTGAGTTTAGAAGTTGCATGATCACTTAGGAAAATAATTAAAAATTTTAAAATTTGTGTATATGTGATTTGAAGTTTAAAAAAAAATATTATAGAAACATCCTTATATAGTAATATGTGCTTAGACACTAGAAGGTGAGACTGTAAATTTTAAATATATTTTATTGGTCAACCATTCTGAATTTAATGCTGTTTATAAAATATAGTATTCTATAAGTCATGTCACAATCGATCAGCCAAACCATTATATGCAGACACCAATTATGACGACAAATTGAAAAACAAAAAAGACAAAAGAAAAAATTGACAATAAGGATTTTTGTTATATATATAATTAAAAATAAAAATAATTCAGCGATCATTATACTTTAAAAAATAATATCTTATTATTGATTTCTAAAAATAACAATACTAATAATAATAACAACAACAAGAATAAAAGCTATAAGAAAATTCACGTATTATTTTTTCCCTCTGTGTACGGAAATTATTTAAAAGAAAACGTTGAATATATAAAGATGGCCTCATTACTGTCCAAGGCGACTGAATCAAATACAATCTACAAATAGTTTGACTTTTTAAAATTTAACCGCGCAGAATCATAAACTTGAACAAGTTTTCAGAAAGAGATCCATTCAATAAAATAGAAGGAAGATTTCTCAGTTCTTTGACCTTCAAAATTAATACCTCAGCCCGTGCGTTGCGATTAGTGCCATCAAACATATTATATTCAACCTTTGAAGTTCAAACCTGAAAGCAAACTTTGTTGGAAGCAAAAGGAAGGATGTTTTACTTTACAGGAACAGATATTACGTTTAATTTCCAAATATAAAATAATTTGCCTATCTTTCTGAAAGTAACAACACTGTTTATAAAATATACATATTCCACCACTGGCATCACAATCAAACCATTGTATCCAAAATGAAAACATGGTCAATGTTAATTTTGTTCTCTCTGAAAAAACCAATTAAGAAATGAAAGCCGCCAATAAGAATAAGAACTAAGAAGAAACTCATCGAGGAACCAATGAAACAGAAATATCATTAGGCATCTTAATGCTCTCAGACCAATTCCGCGACTTCAAATAAAGCGTTGAAATCTTGCCAGCGACGCGTCCCATGTTGGGCCTCTTATCTGGATCCACGTGTACGCATTCCAGCGCTACACGTGTCAACCTCTCCGCTACGTCCACGGGAAACGAATCTTTCAGCCTCTTATCCACCCACTTCCTCAGCTTCCCTTCCACGCTACCCTCGCCGCCGTCCACGGCGGCCTTTGCCGTGTCAATCACCGACGTCCTCACGATATCGCGCGTCTTCTCATCCAACCTGAACTTCAACGGCTCCTCGCCGGACAACAGCTCCAGCATCACCACTCCGAAAGCGTACACATCGGACTCCTGAGTCGGCACGCCGGTGGCTTGAAATTCCGGCGACATGTACCCTCGGACGCCTTCGAATTGCCCGTTGTTGCTCCCCGATCGCCGGAATTGCTTGGATCTCGCCGGCGACGAGGGTTCTTCGGTGATTTCCCCCAATTGTTCATTCTCGATCTCGATTTCGCCGCAGAGCTGCGCGGCGCCGAAATGGCAAACCCTAGCGTTGAAGGAAGGCTCTGTGACGATGATGGCACTGCTCTTGATGTGGTTGTGAACGAAGTTGATGTTCAAACCCGTCTTACTGTGAATGTAATCGAGGCCATGAGCGAGATCCGTAGCTACCTGCATTCTCGACATCCACGTAGAAAGCACCGTGAAGTGAACGTTCCTCGCGTTGCGAAGGCAATCGGAGAGGCTTGCTCCGTTGACGAACTCGTAGACGAGGTAGATGTGGTCGCCGGAGATTGATGCGCCGAGAAGTTTTATGATGCTGACGTGGTGGCTCCGGCAAATGACGGAGAGAAGTTCTCGGAGCTGTGAGGTTTGGAGTTTTCGCCGGAACTTGCGCTGGAAAACAATGACGTCAGCGCCGCGGAGCGTGCAGCGCCAGCAAAGAGTAGAGGAGGAGTAGCGTTTGGCGAGGAAGTTGTTGGTGGCGACGCAGATTTCGGAGTAGTCGTAAATGTTAGGGTTTTCTGGGAGGGTGTCACGGAGGCTGGTGAGGGATGTTCGGCTTGAAATGGAGGTGTCGGAGGAGAGTCTGTAGCCGGTGGAGCCGCTGTAGTGTGCGGTGCTGCTGCCGCTGCCGCCGTAAGAGGTTGAAGGATTGTCGGAGAACGAAGAGGGGACACGTGTCGGTCTTGACGATGTGGTCCTCGGTGTTTGCGGGGCGCGTTGTGATTGCAATTGCGATTCCGATTGCGTGCGTGGGGTTCGTGTGGGATTGGCGGCGTCGATCGCCATTTTAGTCTTGCACATAGGAAAATGAAGACGCCGCAAAAGATGATCGATGGAGATTTAAATTTTGATTCAATTTTATTGATTGGTTTTGCCTAAGAACAAGCTCATTTGGATTTGGAGTCTCAATATTTTCAAAGTATTCAACGCTCATTAATCAAAAGTGCTAAAACCGAGCGTGCAAGTTGAATCACCTTCCTCGCTCAAAAGTCCAGGTTCGTTATCCTCATTTTCTTTTATATATAACTATAAAAATTAATTAAATATTTCTAAGATTACGATCAGCGTTCAGTTTAATCTCTATTTTTTCTATAATTTTAAAAGGTGGAAAATTAAACGAGGCAACATTTTTATACATAAAAAAATAAAATAGTTTATCATCTGAAAGTAAGAAAAGTTGCTAAATACAAATAATATTTATAAAAACCATGTGTTTTTATTTCATTTTAAAAATTGGAGTATGAACTCGAATTTGGTAGTTATTGTTTGGGATAATATCTGACACTGATTTGGGGATGAGCTCGAAATGAGTGCCATGTCGACCTTATCCCAGCGTGGAGTTGGGTAATGTGGACGCAGGAGAACTAATAAATCGGCACCCAATTGCCTCGGTCAGTGCCTTTGTACTTTCGGTGCTTCACTGTCATTTCTATTCAAAAAACGGTTCTATGGACTATGATGCAGATTTTTCACTTCATAAATATTATATTTTCAACCAATTTCTTAGAAAATTAAATACTCACTATGAGTGGCCTATCCGGTAAGTGTAAACACACCACACCAGCTTTGCATTGCTGTTTCCTTTTTTAAATCTCTCAATTATTCGCATGCCAGAATTTACAAGTTCCGCTAACTTTGCGAGTAAGCCACGCTTGACTAAGATAATAATTTCTCTAATATAATTTATTTAATCTGTAGAGAAATTTATTATACGAAATACAATGCACTTGAGACGAAATTTTTTCAACAGTTTTCAGTTATCTCGAGGTTATTGTTGCAAAGCAAAAAAGTCATTTCATGAATTTGATTTTAAAATGTGTATAAATTAATTTAGACTATATTTTTTTATTAAAAATTTGAGATTTTATTTTTAAGCATAAAGCAAACATTACAATTACTACGGTTTTATATTTTTGTCTAGTATTAAATTATACTTGAACATATAAACCGACTCTCTTTTTCGAACGTAAAATTATCAATGCATCCTTGCAGTTTCAAGATTCTTTTAAATTTTTGTTTAATTTTAACTCATTCTAGAAAACTGATCACTTATTTTAAAATTTAATTACACACATGGGCTACACGCACCTCTTCAAGTTGAGTTATGAGTTGTTCAAGACGTCTTCCATTGACAGATTTTTAATTTAAACTGATATTGTAGTTTGAGATACTCTTGATTTAAACCAAGATTTGAGAGATTTAGTATCTATAAAATAATGATTCAAAATTAGCTAAAACCATATTAATATTTGAATGAAGTAACAATTCATTCGAGCTAAGCATCTCATCATATGATGTTATGCTACTTTGTCCACAATAATATAAGATTCACCCAAATGAAATTATATGATTCACCATCTATATATAATTTTTCTACTTAAATTCTTACAATGGCCATTTGTTCTAGCTTAAATGCTTAATTTCCATGCCTGCCATAGACGACTTTCAAAACATCAATGCATGTTGAAAGAGAAGGTCAGAGATCAGTTGACGAATGCTGGGCTATGTTTGCATGCTTTTGATGTTTGGCAATTACCTTTAATGGCAATTCTGAAAGTCAAATGGATAAAGGTAAATCATTATTAATATTTTGAGGTCGGTTTTGTGTTTATAAAAAATATAACTGTAAAAAGAAAAAAAGTAAAAAATACTGGTTAAACGTATATTCAAGTATGATAATGTAAAGAATAATAACAATATATATATATGTAATATAATTCAAATATGATTACATTAGGTTATGGCACACATTTAGGTAACGAGGCTTGCTATTTGCACCCTTTCCCCTTTTAATATTATTGTAATACCCTTCACACCCGTTTTGATATTTCAAGTGCATAACCTAAGTACCTAACTTAATATGGCGACATTTCGGAGCGTGAAAGAGTAATCACTATTTATAATAGATATTTTAGGAATAAAAAATTAAAAATCTGTGAATAGAAAACAAAAAAAAAGATATTATATCATAGACCCAACAAGGGTTTAGGTCCAAATTCTTTTATTGGTGGGTCATCAAACCTAATTTGAATTCAAATTACATCGAGAATAAAATGATTTAAATGTTTTATGGATTTTTATTAATGTTATTTTTTCACTACCTCTCATTCAATATTCTTAAAAGAGTTAAAGTTGAGCTTTAAAAATAGCATAATTTTCATAGTTGTGGCTTGCTTTCACTTAAATTCTATACACGAGAAAACTCATTTAAATAAATAAAATAAAAGTAAAAAATAAAAATATTCTCCAATTATTTAATAAATATAAAAGTAAATAAGAACACAACATTATACATAAAACATTTTTATCCTTACAGGTGTAATTAATTATGTCTATGTATATGATGATTGGAAATTCAAAATCCTAAATTAGTCCATTTTGAATCCATTAGCACCAAAACATATAGTTACGATAATGTTATGATAACACAGAGTGATAATAATATTAAAATTTTAAGATGTATATATAAGAATTAAAAAAACTACTTAATTATTATTGGACAAAATTATTAACCTTGATCTTAAAACACAAAGCATTGTTTTGACGAAGCTCATAGATTATCACTAAATGCATGATACGAAATTGTTCTAATTTGATTAGTTATTTCAAATTTAAATATAAAATATAACTACATTAAATTAAATAATTAAAACTAGATACGTTAACGTTATCACTTATAATATTCATACTTGTTTCATGAAGAAGCTGTTTCCGCTACCTACAAATTTGTGAAAAATAATTTCTTTGCATAGTACCTTAATTTAATTTGTTTAAAAAATTATAAACGCTACTTAATTTGTTTAAAATTTATAAAAGTATTATTTTAATTCTTAAAATTATCAAAACAGTCATTTTAAAATATAATATTATAACATAATGGATATTTTAATCCATAAAACTATAACGAGTTAAAATAATTTATATTTTAAAAATAGAAATTAAAATAATATTTTCTCTTTCCTCAGATTTTGTAATTAAAATTTTCAATGGGTCTAACTCAAAATTTCCCTGGACCTGGACTTCTCGCTTGGATCTCGGAACCCTAGCCTGAGCTCACAACTCACCACTGCAACTCTCGCTCTCTGGTCTCCGTTTGATCTCAGAAGTTCATTTGTGAATTGTGATTGTCGTCTTAACTCACACTTCGCAGGTACATCATCATTGTTCTCAGACTTAGTACAAATTACGTTCAACCTGCTTTTACCCAACGTTTAATTTTGGATCCATGAGAGTAACTGTTAGTTGTTTGCGTCCTATTATGATGAACCACATCGTTATTTGTTTTTTTGTCTTAAATCGTTTAAAGATACATTACGCCCAATATTTCTACTACGTGAAAGTGAAATTAGAGAGAAATTATATGCATACATGATAGATGTGGAGAGGTGGGCTTAAGGTTCAGGAATTAGGAATGGGCAAATGCGAGGTGAAATTGAAATAAGGAAATTGTTTTTTTTATAACGTATTCCTGTTAATCTTTGTGATTTTAGGGTTTCAGCAATCCTTGTGCTCTGTTTGAGAGCATGAACTCCAGAGGATTTTGGAATGGATCAGTTGATGGTGAAGATGAGTATTAGTATTACAGTCATGTCTTGCACTTTATAGAAGCTGCTTTTGGAGTGGGAAAGGAGATAGAATTAGGCAATTGAGGGCTGTTGCCCTTGCAATGGTTCAAGGGTTAAACTAGGGACGCAGAGACTAATCATCCACATTTAGGTGTAGCACTTGTGTGATAGATATTTGCTGGTTTCTACGGTTTTGGTTTCTCTTTGTTTTGGGTATCACATTCTGTTTTAGGATTATTTGGTGTTATATGTGTGCAATATATATTATAATCAAATAAGAGGTTGGTACGCAAAATTATATCAAATAATAGGTAGGCAATGCATATATTGGCCTACAAGTAACTATGTAATAAAAAACCGGAAGATCTGTTGGGAGTGAGTTGTAACAATTCCAGAATTTGCAAAATAAATGACCAAGTAGTTTTTAAAGCAATAGAGAAAGGAAGATGAAGTTTAAATTGGAGCAGTTGTGAGTGCAAAACTATGCTGTGACCAATGTAACAGATGAACATAATTGTGCAATTTGAGAAACTGAACACAATGCAGCGGAGACTATCTAGATCAATCTGGCTCACCAAACAGATTACCTTTTGGTTCCTCAGGATCAATGAGAGAAGCCAGAGATATGTAGAGACAGGAACTAGAACATTAAGAATAAAATTAACTTATTGAAAAGAATCAACTAACAAAAAGGTTTATGGAAGACTAAAATCAAATTTAGCTATATTTACATAGACTGAATCTTAGTCATCAATAGTGGCCGCTATTGCAGCGCAGTCCCGCTATGGTGACCCTGTAGTGTCGATGTTCAGTGTTGCCACTGTCTCGCCGTGAATAGTGGCTGGAAATCGCGAAAATCGTGGCTGTAGTGGCCGCTATGCTGTCCTCCCTGAAAATTCCGAATCTGTCCTCCGTTTTTTAATCGTTGGGGGCTTTTAAGGGGGGGAATCTTGGGATTTCACCCCCCCAACCACTTTTATTTGCTGAATCTTCTCCCTCCCTCTCGCAAACCCTAGCCCCTCAACTCACCTCTCAACAGACTCAACTCTCTCCTCAGCTCTCCTCTCATTTCTCCTTTCTTGTCATCTTTATTCTCTCTGAATACTTAGTATTTTTAAATATCTAAGCATTAGAGACTTTAAATTTATTTAATTCTTGTATTTTGTTGTTACTTGTTATTGACATTTGACATGTGTTATATTCTTAAACTTTTACTTTTAATCATTAATATTGCATATATTTTTAAGTTGGGTCTTAAATTTATATTTTTCAGCATATATATATATGTGTAACTTAATTTATATGGGTATATTTATAATGCCTACAATAGCGGTTATTTCGCTATCCCGCTATAGCATTTTTGGAGTCGGCTGCTACGCACTGCTATTCGAGATTAACTACTATGGACTGAATATAATTTACTCTGTGTGTGAGTGAGTGTGAAGCCTTGCAGGGCGCATATTCCTGAGTAATTTTGCAATTTTGCTTCATATAACTAGAGGACAAATGTTGAAAAGAGAAAAGGTTTATATTCAATTGATATTTTGAATTTGCATTTACTAGATAGTCAAAACATGAAATGAACGTGTAGTTTGTAGATAACTGGTGCCTTGTTTGATGTACAATTTTGCAATACGGCAGAGTTGATAATTTTTTTAGATAATTGATAGTTTCTTGAGTTATGTGTGATGTGCCAAAAATATTAGAAAAGTGAAAATATTTAAATATATACTTTAACAAAGATTATTTTGCAAAACAGACATGGTTATCCCACCTCCAGTCAGGCCTCCCAGGGTTATAAATTTTCTCAAACCTTATGTTCTGAAGATGCATTTTACCAATAAGTATGTGAGTGCCCAGGTGATTCATACCCCAACTGCTACTGTGTCCTCTTCTGCAAGCTCACAAGAGAAAGCCTTGAGATCAAGCTTGGAAACTACACGGGACGTGGCTGCAGCTGCAAAGATTGGGAAGATACTAGCAGAACGCCTTTTGGTTAAGGACATACCTGCTGTTAGTGTTCACTTGAAGAGAGAGCAGAAGTATCATGGTAAGGTTAAAGCAGTGATTGATTCTCTCAGGGAAGCTGGCGTTAAGCTGCTTTGAGTTATGATTGTGTGTTTATTTGTACCTGAGAGAGACCATCCTTTTTGGAATGCAAAAGGATGGACGATTTTGTATTATTTCAGTAGAAAATAAGAACGCGAATTAAACTGAGGTGTTCCTTTTATTCTTTAGCTATCATCATAACAGGAAGTTATTCATTCAAGTCTTTTTCCAAAAAATTAAATGAAAAAAATATAAATATTTTTTTCTTATTTATAAGAAATAATCATCACTATTTTTTTAATTTAAAATATAATGAACAAATAGGGCCTACAACTCTTTTTTACTGCTCTTCTCCACTTCTTTCAGTAACCAAATAGAGGAAGTGACTGATTAATTTCCACTCCACTTCCTTTTCACCGACTACATTTTATTCTACTTCTTTAGAAACACGTAATCCATCATAATATATGCATGCTAAAAGAAAAAAAGTTAATTTGGGTTTTAACGTGATTGAAGGATAAGATCCAGAATAGTAGTAGGATAAGGATAACTTTGGTATGATGTGATCAGTCCAGTATAGTAAATGGATAGTTTTCCCATCACACCTTATGAAATGTGATTAAGGTTACATGGGTTTCGATGAGTGAGCTCATATAAAACTTGCCCATCACATACACAAATCCACCATAACAATTTTTTTAACAAAGTCTTGTATTATTAAATGTTACACTATCAGAATGTAATTTATGATACAGACTAAACGAGCTCTAAAACTAGCATTTTACTCAAATTTAAAATTTGAAATATCAATTATATTTTTAACGCATTAAATTCTAATGTTATTTTTATATAGTGTAATTTTAAATCACTAAATTACATGTATTTAGATAATATAAAATATTTTTAATATATAACTCATCTCATTCTTGTTCCTGTTGATTTTATATTCTTTAGAGTTATAAAATTTTATATCCTATCTAAAAGAAAATTGATTACCAATTGAGAGAATTCCTAGTGATAACCGTTGAGGAATTTGCTGAAATTGGAGGGTTGAACCCTCAAAACATCAGATCAGTAGTTCTTTAAAAATGGAAAAGCTTCTCTTGTTGATTGGAAGTGCATTATTACATTATCAGCCACCGATGAAAAACACCTTTGATTGATTGCTATATTACAAATAGAGGTGAACAAGAAAACAAGCCGAAGAGTGAATCCGGGGGAGGAGAGGACTAAGGTCGAGAAAGCCATCAAAGGACAAAAACATTAATAAAGCCCATTTTTTCGCTCACGTAACCAAGGCCATGTTAGGCAGCAATTTGCACTGTAGTTTCGTGGCGATCTTGATTTTGATAATCTAGTAATAGGGTCCATGGCCCATGGGCATCTCGCTGTCCCAAAGTAGATTTTCAGCGGTCTGGTTTTATTGAGAACAAAAGAAAATTAGTTTGTTGATGTGATAGGAAAGAAAACAGAAAATATGGACTAATGACTTGACTTTCGAGAGTTGTTGTATTGCCAAATTCTGGATTAAGTTTTGCACACACAGTAGGACAAATAAAATAATTCAGCATGAAATATATTAAAATTAACTTATTTTTTATATATCATTTTCTTACATCTAGAGTTTTTTTTTTCTATCTTTCTCACACTCTTTTATGGGTTTGAAAGAATTAAAATAATCTGTTGACATTCTAATTTGAGGTGTCAGAAGAGCCTAAAAAGAAATAAAGAAAATAAAAAATGATAAATAATATAAAAGATAATGGGTATAAAGTTAAAAGAATTATTGAAAGAATAATATTTGTTACAATATATATATATATATATATATATATCTTGCATGTTGGTTACTTGCAATGAAAATTTGAGTGACGTCAAACTAGATTGAGTTTGATTGCCATTTGCATGAGAAATTTTATTCTTACTCAATATTTTTATCACGTGCTTTATGATTAAGAGAAAAATAAGATAAAATAGTATAAACTACAATTGGTAATATAATAGAGAAAGATAAAAGAAATTATAATTGTAAAAAATGTTGTCTTTTGCATATATATCCTTTTAATTGCGTGGATCGTTATAAAAGTATTTCTGAACAGTTAAATTTTAGAAAGCAAAATGAAATAGAAAAGAAAATAGAAACAAGGACAAAAGACTTGACTTTACGAGAGGTGTTGAATTGTCAAACTAAGTATTTAGTTTGTTTAGGGAAAAAGAATTAATACATTTAAAAGTTAACTTCAGTATCAAAATATATTAAAAATAATCTTATTTCTCTTTCAATCGCAGTATTCAAATCTTCCGTGTTTTTTTTTCTTTTATTTTTACGCTCATTTCACATCTTTTTCATGTGTTTGAGAAAATCATACTTGTTAAAAAAATTATCTTTGACAGCCTATAAAATATAAAAGTTTGAAAAAAATAGTTGTCAATATTTACAAGTTCTTTACCAAACTCCTAGTTATCCGTTTGAAACAATTTCAAAAGAGATGTTTTATCATTACTACTATTATTATTGGCTAATTTTGTTCGACCAGATACGATTATGGGCCGATGATTAAAGGAAATGTGATATTTTATAGTTGTATTACAATAATTTATAAAAATTATAACTATATTGTTATTTTATTCATATATTTATTTCTGCAAATTTTATTGTAAAAGTTTAACACCACTCTCCTCTTTTGTTCAAGACTGGTCATGAGATTAATCCTTTTATAATTTTGATGAGTAAATAAAGTTTTGTAAATTTCTCTCTTCAAAATCGGAGGCTTATTTTTTATATAATTTGTCTGCCCTATACGTCTTTGGAACACTATATAAGCACATGCCAGGCCTCTACCATCACCACCAATCCACCATAGCCACAACTCTCAATGGCTCACACGCCAACTCTCGTGTTTCTATTCTCTCTTTACCTCTTCAATATCGTCACAAACTTCCCTTCACTCGCAAACGCTCTTTCCTCTTGCAACGGACCATGCAACAACCTCAACGACTGCGCCGGCCAACTCATCTGCATCAACGGCAAATGTAACGACGATCCCGACGTCGGAACCCACATATGCTCCGGAGGCGGCGGTGGAGGCGGTGGCGGCGGCGGAAACTGCCAATCCTCCGGCTCCCTGAACTGCAAGGGAAAATCATATCCTCAATACACGTGCTCTCCGCCAGTTTCGTCGTCCACCCAAGCCATTCTCACTCTCAACGATTTCAGCGAAGGTGGGGACGGAGGGGGTCCCTCTGAGTGTGACGAGCAGTACCACGACAACTCCGAGCGCGTGGTGGCACTTTCCACCGGGTGGTACAACAAAGGCTCGAGGTGTTCGAAAATGATTAGAATAACGGCGGCTAAGAACGGGAGGAGCGTGACGGCAAAGGTGGTTGACGAGTGTGACTCCGTTAACGGTTGTGACAAGGAGCACGCGGGTCAACCACCGTGTCGTAACAACATCGTGGATGGGTCACAGGCCGTGTGGGACGCGCTCGGGCTTAACTCTGATGTGGGCGAAGAGCGCGTGACTTGGTCCATGGCTTAAAATTTGAATAACGACCCTACGTACGAGGATTAATTAATAAGGACAAGCATATTTATAGCTTAATGCTAATTGCTTGCTTTTATTTTGTTTTTCTAAAGTAAAGAACGAAATAGACGAGAATGCTCTTCTCGCTTTCATATTTAACAATTAAATAAAATAATTTTATCACTTTGCTCAGTGAGAGGTCATTTTGCTGCCTTGATCAACACATTATATGTTCAGATAATTGCTAATTATACAATAAATTTGTATAAATTAAAGAGATAAGACAATAATAGAAAACAAATGGAATAATAAGATGACTAATGTGATGGAAAGAGATAAAGAAAATTTTGTTGACTATCAATGAATTAAATGGGAAGAGATCTCCATCAACGTGTATATGCACAATTTATTAATATTTTTATTAAATAAAATTTATTTTATTTTTTCATTTGGTTTAATTCAAATCTAATATGAGTTATTCACTTAGACATGGTAGATGAGTCTTTAACATTAAATTCTTTTTACATACATAAATACCTAAATTCAAAACTTTATTTAAGAAATTACCACTCAAAATAATATCCGTTGATTAAAAATAAATTTTAACTCACTGTATACTTTTATCATTATATATACATTTTAAATTTATAAATAATTAGACCTATATCCCTATACTTTTTTTTTATCTCTCCTTAAAAAGAAAGAAATTCAAAATACATGTATTTGAAGGAGAAGAGTTGACGTCGAACCAAAAGTTTATTTTTTTTCTTACTAAATGGGATATTGTTTTAATATCTTGGATTTTTTATATATTATGAAACCACTCTTTCCTTCATCTTTTGTTGGGTAAATATGCTCTTTTTTTTTTTTTGCTAATGTTTATCGGCAAGGGCTATTTTGATCTTTATTTGGGCCGCACCATTATTAGTTCGAGCCCTTTTGAGTTGACTATCAACGAAGAGCGTATGTTTCTCACTCTACCTTGAGGCGCTAATGGGCCTGACAAAAGTCTATGTAGTCATTTTAGACAAAAGCCTATATAATATGATTGACAATTCTTGTTCATGGCTAAAAGAAGATTGTTAATATTATTTTTTAAATCTTATTTAAATTAATTATGTTGTACGATTCATTGAATAAATTAAACATAATACATATTAAGAATGAAATCTTAGAATCATTTAATTATAAAACTCAACACATCATTTTGTCACTCCAAAATTAGAAAAAATAAAAAGAAATTGATAAGTTAGTCACATTAAACATAAATTTCATGCGAGGTGTCAGAATTTCTATAGTTGAGATAAAGAAGTGAAAATTCTGTTGCGTTATTGATTGTTATAACCTGAGTTGTCATTGCAAATATCCTAGCTGATATATACCCACAATAAAAATGATTTTATTAAAGTACTTTATTAGTAGTTATGCTGTATTGAGATAGAGGCATATTTTAGGGTAATATCTTAGCCAGAGATTACATTATTTTTGTAGGGGTCTAATTTTTTTTATTTAGTGTGAATATCTTGTTGAGCGATTGGATCTCATCCCTACGATATCATGTATACATAGCGAATTATGTAGTGTTCCTTTTATTCTTTAGCTATCATCATAACAGGAAGTTGTTCATTCAAGTCTTTTTCCAAAAAATTAAATGAAAAAAATATAAAATAATTTTTTCTTATTTATAAGAAATAATCATCACTATTTTTTTAATTTAAAATATAATGAACAAATAGGGCCTACAACTCTTTTTTACAGCTCTTCTCCACTTCTTTCAATAACCAAATAGAGGAAGTGACTGATTAATTTCCACTCCACTTCCTTTTCACCGCTACATTTTATTCTACTTCTTTAGAAACACGTAATGCATCATAATATATGCATGCTAAAAGAAAATAAGTTAATTTGGGTTTTAACGTGATTGAAGGATAAGATCCAGAAGAGTAGTAGGATAAGGATAACTTTGGTATGATATGATCAGTCCAGTATAGTATAAGGATAGTTTTCCCATCGCACCTTATGAAATGTGACTAAGGTTGCATGGGTTTCGATGAGTGAGCTCATATAAAACTTGCCCATCACATACACAAATCCACCATAACAATTTTTATAACAAAGTCTTGTATTATTAAATTTTACACTATCAAAATGTAATTTATGATACAGACTAAACGAGCTGCAAAACTAGCATTTTACTCAAATTTAAAATTCGAAATATCAATTATATTTTTAACGCACTAAATTCTAATGTTATGTTTATAGAGTGTAATTTTAAATCACTAAATTACATGTATTTAGATAATATAAAATATTTTTAAAATATTATAAAATTTTAACTAAATAATTTTTATGTCAAATAAAAAAATTTCAAAGGACATGTCTTAAGAAAAATCGTAAGGATTCATTAACATACTTAACTTAATATATTTATCATATATAACTCATCTCATTCTTATTCCCGTTGATTTATATATTCTTGAGGGTTATAAAATTTTACATCCTACCTAAAAGAAACTTGATTACCAACTGAGAGAATTCCTAGTGATAACCGTTGAGGAATTTGCTGAAATTGGAGGGTTGAACCCTCAAAACATCAGATCAGTAGTTCTTTAAAAATGGAAAAGCTTCTCTTGTTGATTGGAAGTGCATTATTACATTATCAGCCACTGATGAAAAACACCTTCGATTGATTGCTACATTACAAATAGAGGTGAACAAGAAAATAAGCCGAAGAGTGAATCCGGGGGAGGAGAGGACTAAGGTCGAGAAAGCCAACATGCAGCAATTTGCACTGTAGTTTCGTGGTGATCTTGATTTTGATAATCTAGTAATAGGGGCCATGGTCCATGGGCATGTCGCTGTCCCAACGAGCTGTTTCGCAAAATCAATGCTGCCATAAAGTAGATTTTCAGCGGTCTCGATTTATTGAGAACAAAAGAAAATTAGGTTGTTGATGCGATAGGAAAGAAAACAGAAAATATGGACAAATGACTTGACTTTCGAAAAGTTTTGCACACACCGTAGTAGGGGTGCGGAAAAAATCTAGATACTAAAATTCAGTACACAAAACTGGATTCAAAAATTTAGATTTTTTAAAAAATAAAATATTCAATCTACTTTATTTTTGTTTGGATATTATTTGAATTTTATTTTATAAAATTATATTATATTTTTTCAAAACTAATTTTATCACATCTTTTATGTAGTCTGGACAATGATTCTTAATCTCATCCTTTGCGCAAGTCAGAATATGAGTTAGGCCAAAGAGAAAATGTATTCTTGAATTTCAGAGAGTTTAGGATTAATCTAATACCATTGGCGCACATTTAAATAAATTAATTTAAATATTATTTTATTTTTAACACAAAATTTATATAATAACAATATATATATATATATATATATATATATATTAAAATATAAGATAATAATATAATTATACTTTTTTAAGTTTTATTTATAATTTTTGTGTAAATGTTAAAATAATATTGAAATCATTATAATAAATATTTTTACATCTTTGTCCTTTTTTATTTTTAATTACTAAATTAAAATATTTTTTTTGTGATATCGAATTCAAATTCCAATCAATACAATATAACTCTTAAACATGATTTTACTAAAAAAATTATTATTATTTAGATAAAAAACATATTATTTTATAAATTAATAAAAATTATTTAAATAAATAGAATGACATAAAAATTTTAAAAATAAATAAAATATTTTACATAATATTATATTGTCATGATAATTTATTTGACATTATTGTAAATAAAAAATATTTTTAAAATTTTACTTATGTTATATAATAAATACATATTTTATCTTTCCACAAAATATTTTACGTGAGTGATTGACAAGAGAAGAAATAAATTTAAAAAATTAAATTAAAATAATTATAACTATAGTATAGTTTAAATTAAATTTAAATTTTAAAACTATTTTTAAACTGATTAAAAAAATAAAATAAAATAATTTAAAATTTAATTTATATAATTAATTTGTGTGATAGATAGATGATAAAAATTATAATATATTTAAATATTTATTACTTTAATAAAATATAAAAAATATTATTAATCAATTAAAATATACGCAAATATTTTCTTGACATGTATTGATAATTCTCTTTAAAGATATAATGGGTTAGAGTACTCATTATATTCATATTTTATCTTTAATAAATGTTCATGTTTAAAAAAAAATACATATATATATATATATACACAAATATAATGTTATATTATTTATTATAAAATTTAAATATTTTTTAATATAATCATTTAATAATAATATAAAAAAATTAAAGTATATTTTTATCATATATAAAAATAGTTTAAAATTGATTTTAGAAAAATTAAAATGAATTGATTTATAATTTAATCTATATAATTGGATTATAAATGAATCTAAATTAATTTTTTAGAAATTCCATCCATAAACACCCCTACACAATAGGACAAATAAAATAATTCAGCATGACATATATTAAAAATAACTTTTTTTTATATATATCATTTTCCTACGTCTAGAGTTTTTTTTTTCCTATCTTTCTCACACTCTTTTATGGGTTTGAAAGAATTAAAATAATCTGTTGACATTCTATTTTGAGGCGTCAGAAGAGCCTAAAAAGAAATAAAGAAAATAAAAAATGATAAATAATATAAAAGAGAATGGATATAAAGTTAAAAGAATTATTGAAAGAATAATATTTGTTACAATATATATATATATATATATATGTCATGTTGGTTGTCAAGACTTACAATGAAAATTTGAGTGACGTCAAACTAGATTGAGTTTAATTGCCATTTGCATGAGAAATTTTATTCCTACTCAATATTTTTATCACGTGCTTTATGATTAAGAGAAAAATAAGATAAAATAGTATAAACTAAAATTGGTAATATAATAGAGAAAGATAAAAGAAATTATAATTGTAAAAAATGTTGTCTTTTGCATATATATCCTTTTAATTGCGTGGATCGTTATAAAAGTATTTCTGAACAATTAAATTTTAGAAAGCAAAATGAAATAGAAAAGAAAATAGAAACAAGGACAAAAGACTTGACTTTACGAGAGGTGTTGAATTGTCAAACTAAGAATTTAGTTTGTTTAGGGGAAAAAATTAGTACATTTAAAAGTTAACTTCAGTATCAAAATATATTAAAAATAATTTTATTTCTCTTTCAATCGCAGTATTCAAATCTCCCGTGTTTTTTTTTTCTTTTATTTTTAGTCTCATTTCACATATTTTTCATGAGTTTGAGAAAATCATATTTGTTAAAAAAAAAAAGATCTTTGACAGCCTATAAAATATAAAAGTTTGAAAAAAATTACTATTATTGGCTAATTTTGCTCGACCAGATACGATTATGGGCCGATGATTAAAGGAAATGTGATATTTTATAGTTGTATTACAATAATTTATAAAAATTATAACTATATTGTTGTTTTATTCGTATATTTATTTCTACAAATTTTATGGTAAAAGTTTAACAGCACTCTCCTCTTTTATTCAAGACTGGTCATGAGATTAATCACAAGCGGAGAATGCTAAAAATTATAAAATATTTTATCCTTATTTTGATGAGTAAATAAAGTTTTGTAAATTTCCCTCTTCAAAATCAGAGGCTTATTTTTTATATAATTTGTCTGCCCTATACGTCTTTGGAACACTATATAAGCACATGCCAGGCCTCTACCATCACCACCAATCCACCATAGCCACAACTCTCAATGGCTCACACGCCAACTCTCGTGTTTCTATTCTCTCTTTACCTCTTCAATATCGTCACAAACTTCCCTTCACTCGCAAACGCTCTTTCCACTTGCTACGGACCATGCACCACCGAAGGCGGTGGAGGAGGTAGCGGCGGCGGAAACTGCGAACCCTCCGGCTCCCTGAACTGCATGGAAGGATCATTTCCTCAATACACGTGCTCTCCGCCAGTTTCGTCGTCCACCCAAGCCATTCTCACTCACAACAATTTCAGCGAAGGTGGGGACGGAGGGGATCCCTCTAAGTGTGACGGGCAGTACCACGACAACTCCGAGCTCGTGGTGGCACTTTCCACCGGGTGGTACAACAACGACTCGAGGTGTTCGAATACGATTAGAATAACGGCGGCTAAGAACGGGAGGAGCGTGACGGCGAAGGTGGTTGACGAGTGTGACTCCGTTAACGGTTGTGACAAGGAGCACGCGAATCAACCACCGTGTCGTAACAACATCGTGGATGGGTCACAGGCCGTGTGGGACGCGCTCGGGCTTGATGGGGGCGAGGATGAGGGCGAGGAGAACGTGACTTGGTCCATGGCTTAAAATTTGATTAACCACGCCACGTACGAGGATTAATTAATAAGGACAGGCATATTTATAGCTTAATGCTAATTGCTTGCTTTTATTTTGTTTTTCTAAAGTAAAGAACGAAATAGACGAGAATGCTCTTCTCGCTTTCATATTTAACAATTAAATAAAATAATTTTATCACTTTGCTCAGTGAGAGGTCATTTTGCTGCCTTGATCAACACATTATATGTTCAGATAATTGCTAATTATACAATAAATTTGTATAAATTAAAGAGATAAGACAATAATAGAAAATAAATGGAGTAATAAGATGACAAATGTGATGGAAAGAGATAAAGAAAATTTTATTGACTATCAACGAATTAACTGGGAAGATGACGATCTTTCTCCCCATCAATGACTATATGCACAATTTATGAATATTTTTATTAAAGATAAACTTTATTTTTTTTTTTGTTTTTAATCTGATTTAATCTGGTTTCAATTTAGATTGTCTACTTAGATGTGATGAGTAAGTTTACTATTAATTTTTTTTATATATACAAGAATTCAAATATAATTACTTAAGTAATATTAAATAGTTGTCACTTAAATCAATTTCTGTTATTTAAAACTAATTTATTTTTTATTTTTTAATAAAACAGGCATTAGTCCAAGAAAAAACAAAAACTAGGCCACATGCCTAGACCACAAACACCCTAAAGGATCCATTCTCAGAAAAGGCTCTAAACAAAAGGGAGCCTTATCAAAAATACAATCAGACATATCAATATCAAAACTCATCTTAGCAAGCCAATCAACACTTTGATTAGCTTCTCGGTACACATGACTAAACTTAATAAACTTAATGTTCTTAATCAATTCCCTAATTTTGCAAATAACAAAATAAAAGGAGTGATTATTGCTTTGAATATTTACAATCAAGGAAATGGCAACTTTGAAGTCACATTCAACCCAAATAGCTTGTAAATTCCTTTCAATAGCAATATGGAGACCCTAGAAAATACCCCATAGCTCAGCCACAGAAGGATGATAGGTTAAGATTTCGGCAAAAACCAACAAGGAAAGCACTAGAGGAATCGCAGAACAAACCTCCACAGCTAGCTATACCCAGGGAATGAGACACTGCACCGTCAGTGTTTAACTTTAAGAAACTAGCCAGATGAGGCATCCATTTAACCATAAAATTTGTACCTTGGACATCATTAGCCTTCTTTTGCCTAGGCCTGCAGGAAAGAAAAAAAAATCAACATTAACAAAGATTCTGCGAGTCAGCTCTTGAGGACTGAGATTGTTATTCTGAAAAATAAAAAAAATTCCTAGCATTCCACAAATTTCAAGCAACAAACTCAAAATAATACTCCAATTAGGATGATGAGGAAAGTTCTATTTGGAGATATTAAACTCCAGCCAGCAGGATAAGCCTAAGCTGAAAAATTGAACCCACTTATTAGGGAGAAGAAAATGACTCCAAATAATATTGGCTACCCAACAATCCCTAAGAACATGAATCACAGTCTCAGGGGCCTCCATACATCTAGGACACTTAGGCGAGGCAACCATTTTTCGAGAAAATCGTTCCTCCTTTGTTAAGAGCCTACCATGGACAACTTTCCATAAAAACGTAGATATTTTAGGAGGGTCGTCCCAAGCCCAAACTAATTTAAAAATCTTACATTTAACAGGATTAATATTATGCAAATTAGAAATAAACTTAGAAGCAGATTTAACTGAAAAATGACCATGATTAGTTAATTTCTAAAAAAATTTATCTGGATTATTAGCCAGGGAAGGGGGGAAATTGTGGACAGAATAGAACAAACATTTCTAGGGATCAAATCTACAAATTCATCCCAAGCCTAGTTCCCCTGATTAATGAAAAATGCAACAGTGTCATTTAACATTTTATCAGGAATATTATGAGTGGCATAATAGGCAAGAATAGGAAAATCAGGAATCCAACAATCCTTCCAAAATCTGGAAATGAGTCCATCTCCTAACGACCAGCCTAGGGATGGCAATGGGTAAAGTACCCGATGGGTACCCGCAAAATTTACCCTCAATGGGTAGGGTATTTACCCGTTACACGGGTATGGGTATGGGTATGGGGAAATACCCGCAAATTTCCATGGGGATGGGGGCGGGTATGGGTACCTAAGTACCCACCCCGCCCCATACCCGCATATACTATTATTATTATTATTATTATTATTATTATTATTATTATTATGCTACTTATGTGAGGGAGGCCTTAACCCAAAAGCCCATAATGGGAAGGAATTAGGGTTAATACTTTATGTTACTCAAGGCTAGGTCTCTTTTATAATCATTGATAATTATATAATTATATGAGTTGCTTCACAATTTGCCTATCGAGAGTTGTGCTTTAGGAGTGTAACTTACAGAAAGATCTCACCATCACTTCTTATAGAATTCAGAGATCAAGTACAACAAATTTTGCAAGTCTTCAACAAGTAAGCCTAAAACTCTATTATAATTATTATTGATATTTCTAATTATTTTTTATTGTTCTAATTTCATATATTATAGTTTGAATAATTTTTTACTTATAATGGAGGAACTAATAATTTAAGAAAACAAGAATCTAAACTACTTTTATATTTTAGAAAGTTTTTGTGGATGCTTTTGTAAAATTTTAGTCAAGATAAAGATTTTACTATTTATTTTATATAATTTCATGTCTTATATTTTTTACTCAGTTCAGACTTTTTTATAGGTCATATTTATTTTATTTTATAATACTATATTTTCAAAAAAATTTCTATGCAAAATAAAAGGTTGAGAAATTTAATATAAATATTTATGTTACTCAAATAAAAGAATGCATATTTAAATATATAAAAATCTATCTAATTAAATTTATTTTATAAGATTAACATAAAAATATATTTATCAATAAAGTAAACCATAAAAATAATTTTTTTCATATTTTTAATAGAAAAATTTATTTACTATTTTATATCGTTTAACTAGACTAATACAATTTAATTATTATATAGTTGATATGCGATTAATTTTTTTAAAAAAATTATTTCTATATGAAACATACAAAATGTTTAGAAATTTAGTGATTAAAATTATGTCAAATTATATTGACTTGGGTTAAATAAGATTTTTTATTTAAGTTCTTGCTTTTATATAGGTAATAACAAATGGAAAATGTACGTGAAATACCTCCTTCAAAGGAATCTGAAAGTAGCTCTTCTCCAATTATTTTCATTATTCCCACACAACCTGAAAATGTTCCTAAAAGTACACTTAATGATTCTGGACCGAGTGACAGTTCTGATATTAGAGATCAATCTCAATCCCAGTCTGATACACTTCCTATTTCGGTGGATGGAGATGATTGTGATGCAACTCATGATGAAAAAAAAAGAAAGATGTCGATTGTATGGAATCACTTTAAGAAAAAAATTATTAATGGGGAAGAAAAAGCTATATGCAATTATTGTAACAAGCAACTGACAGGTAGAAGATCAGATGGAACAAATCATTTGCATAAACACTTTCAAACTTGTAAGAGGAGGCCATATAAGGATATAAGACGATCAATCTTATTGAGAGAACAAAAGAAAGTAGACGGATCATCCACTTATTTGAGTAATTATCACTTTGATCCAGAACAATCTAGAAGAGATTTTGCTTCTATGATAATAATTCATGAGTATCCGCTTTCTATAGTAGACCATTTGGGCTTTAGAGCATATTCTGAAGGCCTCCAACCTTTATTCAAGGTTCCTAGTCGGAACACAATAAAAGGTGACATTATCAAAATATATCTGAATGAAAAGTTGAAGACTATGGGACTCTTAGAGAAGATTGGAAGTAGAATTGCTTTAACAACAGACATGTGGACAGCTAGCAATCAAAAGAAAGGGTTTATGGCTATCACAGCTCATTACATTACTGATGATTGGGATATGCAAAGTCGCATATTGAGGTATAATTTTTGTGATCATTATATGATATATTCATTTAATAATTATTTGCATTATTTCAATTTTTTTTATATATGTATATAATTTATTTTTACATTAATAGGTTTGTATATGTGGAATGTCCACATACAGCAGAAGCTCTGTCTAAAGTATTAGTTGAATGCATGCTAGATTGGAATATTGATAGAAAGTTATCTACCATCACTTTGGATAATTGTAGTACAAATGATTCTCTTGTTGGTTTGTTACTAAACAAACTTGATTGTTCTTCTCTTATGCTTGATGGTCAATTGTTTCATATGAGGTGTTGTGCACATATTCTCAATTTAATTGCTCAAGATGGTTTAAATATTCTTGGAGATGGTATAGAGAAGGTTAGAAGTAGTGTTGCTTTTTGGACAGCTACACCTAAAATAGAACAAACCTTTAAGGAAGCAGCACGTCAAATCAAAGTTTCCATTACAAGGAAACTTGTACTTGATTGTAAAACAAGATGGAATTCTACTTATCACATGCTTGTTGTTGCATTGGCTTATAAAGATGTTTTTATTCGTTTGAAAACAAGAGAGCATATGTATACATGTATCCCTACAACAAATGACTGGGAAATTGCTAAAGAAATTTGTAGTAGGTTGGAAGTCTTTAATCGTGTGACTGAGATGTTTTCTGGGACACAATATCCTACAACAAATATTTTCTTCCCATTGGTTTGTGAAATAAAGTTATCTCTGCAACAATGGCAAATTTGTTCAATTGAGGCTATTAGAAATATGGCTACAAAAATGGTAACCAAATTTGAGAAATATTGGTCTGTTATACATGGAATCATGGGAATTGCCATTTTTTTGGATCTAAGATATAAATTAAAGTTGTTAGAGTACTTCTTTCCCAAGCTCTATGGAAGTTCATCTTCTTTTCAAATTAACAATGTGAAAAAATTATGCTACTTGTTGTTTGAAGATTATCAAGCTAAAGCCATGGGAATAGTAGAAAGTTCAACTGAAAAGTCTAATGAGACGGAAATGAATTTGGATATACTTAATGTTAACAATTTTTTAAGTGATTATGATTCATTTGTTAAAGATACAAATGATATGCAATCAAAGTCTGAGTTGGATATCTACTTGGAAGAGAAGGTATTGCCTAGAAGTGCTAGTTTTGATATCCTTGGGTGGTGGAAATCAAATGGGATCAAATATCCAATATTGCAAAAAATTGTCAAG